CAGGATTTTTATATCTTCTTGGTTGAGTTTTGATAATTCTTATGTATCTAGGAATCTATCCTTTTCTTTGAAATTTCCATTTTATTAGCGTATGGGTCCTCAAAGTAGTTATCGATGATCTGGATTTCAGCAGAATCTATTGTGATTTTGTCTTTTTCACTTCCGACTACATGGATTTGGGTCTTTTCTTTCCTTATTTTGGTAAGCTTAGCTAAGGGTTTGTCTATTTTGTTTAATTTTTCAAAGAGCCAACTCTTTAATTCATTGATTCTTCGCATTTTTTTAGTCTCCATTTAATTAATTTCTGCTCTGATCTTTATAATTTCCTTCCTCATACTATCTTTGGGTTTGGATTGTTCTTGTTTTTCTAGAACCTTGAGGTGCATCATTAGCTTATTTGTGTGAACTCACTCTGTTTTTCTGATTTGGTAATTCACCACTGTAAATTTCCCTCTTAGGACTACCTTCATTGTGTCCTATATGTTTAGGTATGTCATATTGGCATCATTTGATTGTAGGAACTGTCTAATTTCTTCTTTAATTTCATCTGTGACCCACTGATTATTCAAGAAGGTATTATTTAATTTCCATGTGTTTGCATAGTTTCTGTGGTGTCTTTGCCATTGATTTCTAGTTTCATTGCACTATGATCTGATAATATGCATGAGATAATTTCAATTCTTTTGCACTTACATAAGCATACTTTATGGGCTAGTGTGTGGTGTATTTTGGAGAAAGCCTCATGTGCTGCTGAGAAGAATATGTATTCTCTTGTTGAGTGAGATTCTATAGATATCTATTAAGTCCCTTTACACAAAGGTTTGGATCAACTCTGATATTTCTTTGTTGATTTTTATCTAGTTGGTCTGTCCATGTTTGACAGTAGAGTACTGAGCACTCCCATTATAACTGCATTGGTGCTCATCTGATTTTTCATACCCATTAGAGTTTATGAAGTTAGTGCACTGATATTTTGTTTATATATATAATTGTTATCTCGTCCTGTTCACTGGTATCTTAAACTAATAAGTAGTAACCTTCTTTGTTTCTTCTGATGAATCTTGGTTTGAAACCCACTTTGTCTGCAATTAGGTTAGTTACTCCTGCTTTTTTCCAGGTTTCTGTTGCATGGAATGTTGACTTCCATCCTTTCTCTTTCAGTCTATGAATTTCATTTTGAGTTAAATGTTTCTTACATGTAGCATAATACTGGGTCATGTTTCTTGATCTATTCTGCTTATCTATGTCTTTTGACTGGTGAATTGAGACCATTCACATTGATGGTTATAACTGATAGGTATTGACTTATCCCTGTTGTTATATTATTCTTATGCTCCTGATTCCCTTTCTTTCTCTTCTACCTGCTTGCCCACCTTGGTGGATTCATATCAGTTTTGAAAGGTAACTTTTGTGATATATCAGTCTGAGATGGAAGCTGTTTTTTTTTAGGGTTTGAAAAATTTTACTCCAAGTTCTCTTTTACTTAAGGGTTTGTGTTGAGAAGTCTATTGTAATTCTGATGGGTTTTCCTTTATAAGTAATTTGTTTGTTTTCTCTAACAACTTTTACAATTCTGTTCTCGTGTTGAATTTCTAGAACTTGGACCATGATATGTTTCGGTGGGGCTAAAATCTTAACTATGATATGTCTGATTATGGCTATTTGGGCTTCTATATGCCTCACTTATCTATATGTCAAATTCTTTTTCCATGCTTGGAGAGTTTTTTGCTATAACTTCTATAAACAATTTTTATGTCCTTTGTGCTATCTTCTGATTTTTCATTAATTTCAATTAATCAATCTTAGATCCTTCTTTGCAGTCAAAGATCTTTGCAATCAAAGATCCTTCTTTGCAGGATCTAGCAGTTGCTGGATCCATTTTTTGTGTTCCCTTGCTGTTTTTAAGGTGTCTTTCCTTAGTTGATTGCCAAACACAGCCTTGTCTTCTAGATCTGACACTCTGTCCTCATAGACAGAGGTTGATTCTGCTGCCCATACTTTCAATAAATATTTAAATCTCCTGGATTTCTGTTTGGTACTTTTTTATGAATTCCAATTCTTTTCTATGCTGGGCTTTCATGGTTTGCATCTCTTTCTTTAGCTTTAGTGTCTTCTCTAGACTTGTTGATCAACTGTTTTATTAGGATCATTATCTCTTCAATTATATCTATTTTGAATTTGCCAAACATCTTATTAATCTGTTTTGCTCCCTCCACTGTTACCATTTCAGATATTTACCTGCATGCCTTTTGATTTCTTTCCCCTTAATTCCCCCTGTATTTGCTCTGGGGAAGTTGGGAGCTTCTAGAGGCATTTTGCTCCCTTGTTTTCTCATTCTCTATTTTTTGTTTGTTTATTTGCTTCCTGTGCTGAGTTTTGAAGATTGATTATTACAGGCAGCTATATTGCTAGCATCAAGACCTCTTTAGTTACTATTTGCTTTTCAGAGATGTCCTCTCGGCAAAGCTAGCTGTTGGCCTCTGGCTCCATCCCAGGATCCAGCCACCACTGTTTATTTGGGAGGGGAGGCTGCAGCCTATTTGGCCCACTACCCAGTTCTTTAGTAATGGGCTCAGCTATTGTTTATGACCTCCAGGCAATCTAGATATTGACTTATAGAGAAAACCAGTTGACAGCAATAACCATGTTACCTTGGCTAAAATACTAAAAGCAGCAATAACAGTAGGTTCAAATACAAACTTGATAGTTACAAACCCTAAGAACTAATAATATACCACCTTTAATCATAGAAACAAGATCTATACCTATAGTACAAATTCTAAGGAAAACCAGATATTGATATAAATTAAATATCTACTCAATAGAGCAAGTGTACCTCCAATAACATTAGAACACTATCCAAACATAGAATGATATAGTTAACTATCTTCAGATTCATAAAGGTTAATGGTTACACTAATAAAGACAGAGGGTGAGGGGAAAGGAAGCATAAAGAAATAGAATGTGAAATATTAAGCAATGGAAAATGGGAAGGTGATAAAATCAAAAGATCCTATTAAGTAGACGAGGGGGCTTGGGATTTAGCTCAGTGGTTTTGCCGCCTGCTGCACAAGCACAAGGACCCAAGTTCGATCCCTGGTACCAAAAAAAAAAAAAAAACGAAGTAGACGAGGGCTGGGGATTTAGCTCGGTGGCACCACACCTGCCTCACAAGCACAAGGTCCTGAGTTCGATCTCTGGTACCAAAACCAAAAAAGAGAAGTCAATGAAAGTTAGTAGTATTAAATAACAGTAACAGAAAAAAAATAACAAGGAAAAGGATAAATAATAAAAAACAGAGATTAAACTAGAGAAAAAAATAAGGAAATAAATTGAAAGAGATAATGAGAAAAGAAGGAATAAAAGGAGGACCTAATTAAACAAATAAAACAAGTAATACTAAGAAGAGCGGAAAAGAAAATGGTGATAAATCTCCAAACTCCACCAAATAAATAAATAAATAAATAAATAACAACAGAGGGGGAAAAATTGGGTCAAAAGAAGAGAGGAAAAAAATTCCTCTGTATTTCCAAGAGCAGTTTTCTTCCAGAACCTTTAGTCTTTAATCCAATAAAGTCACATTCCTCTCTGCCTCTCCTTATAGCCTGTGGTTTTCTGTGGTCCCAGGTCCCCCTCTATGAAGCCCAGTTTGTGCCAACAGGCCTAGGGAGGGTATGGGGCAACGGACTCTGGGTGAAGATTCGAGTGTGCCTGGTGTAGACTTAGCAGGCTAGGGACCAGCACTGGGTGGCAGATGGAGACTCCAGCAGCTGTGGGACCAGCTTGAAAGCCTCAGGTGGAGGCTTGTGCAGGCCCAGGGCACCCTGTGGAGACCCAGGTATGTCCAGATCTGATGTAGGGAGACTCAACAGGCCCAAGCAGTGTCAGGTGCTGGGTGGAGATCCAGGCAGGGCATGGGACCAGTACTGAGTGCCAGACAGAGGCTCTGGTGGGCATAGGACTGGCCTGATGTGCTGGGCAGACTGGTGAGTCTGGGCCACTCAACAGAGATCCAGATGCACCCAGGACTGCTGCGGGGTGCAAGATGGAAAGTCCCCGTGAACTCGAGGAGGGGACAGGGGACCTGATGCTGAGTGGGGGCTCCGCAGGCCTGGGGTACCAGGCAGAGACTCATGTGGGGCTGAGTCCAGGGTGCCCAACACTGGTGCTGTATACCAGACAGTCTCTACTAGTCTCTGGTGGGTTCAGGGAAGGTGCAGGGCAGTGAGTGGCATAGCAGAGACTCAAGAGACCTCGAGTTGCCAGGCACAGATTCAATGGGTTTAGTGTCAGTGCTTGGCGGTACATGGAGGTCCTAGCAGGCCTCCCTCTGCTCTGTAAAATGTACATTTCTGGAAACAGACAGACGTTAACTCTCAGAAACAATGTAGGATGTTATACCAGGTATTATCTAAGAAGAGAAAAAAAAGAATTTGAGTTCTTTGGGAAAAGTAAGCCCTAAATAACTGTTAGTCTTGACATAAAGGTTAAATATCTGAAAATAGATGTGAGGATAGATGTGTGTAAAGATGCAGTCTCAGTTCCATGCACAGTAAGATATGTAACGTATTACTATGGCTAAAGTATATCTTTTACTCCCTCAACAGCAAACGCAAGAGATACACCAAGCTGAGCAACAAGAAGAATCTACTGAATATCTGCTTGGCTTCACAAAGAAAGGTAAACTTGATTCAAAAATTAGTAATGCCTGTTTTCATTTCATGGGCCTGCTCCTCAGGGAGCCAATAAGGACAGGACAGCCTCTGAAGACTAATAGGGTTTCAGCCCAAAATCCCTGACTTACTTCCTACAAAACCTTGGGCAAACCACTGTTGGTTGGAAAAATAATGGTAACTATACCTCATAAAATATCATAGAAATCTTGCCAGCATTTAGTTATTTAGACACTATTACTGTTATCACATTATATTTACCTAGGCTTAACAAATTAAGCACTTATATTCTCTCTGTCCATCCGTCTCTGATTAGCTTTTATTTACCTTGCACTTTTTACAGCAGAGACCATCACTGCACTGAGAGTCTTGTGTCAACGTGCATTTCTTACAACACTCTGCTCCTTCGAGGACACATTCCTAAGAAAGATAAACATTTGCAAAACATCAGAAAATTGTTATTTTCCTAAAACTTCCTAATAGTACCAATTTTCTAAAATAAGTATGCAGACTCACAATAATAATCTTTCATCCACAAATTCTATAAAATGTCCAAACATAACACTTGTTCTGTACATCTGAGCGTGTGGACCTAGAGGGACCCTGAGTTATGTAACCACCATCTTCAAAATGACCAGAGACTTACTGTAGATGTCCCACAATCACACTCCTCTCCAGTCTCAATGAAGCCATTACCACACTCAGGAGGGTCAAGAAGCTGTGGAACAAAAACCAGAGAGGAAACTAAAATACAGAAAAATCAACAGCAAAGACTTTGAGAGTCCTAAGCACCACACTATATGTCTCTATATGTCATCGCTTCCAGTCATGTCAAATAATATTTTTATTTTCCTAAAAAGGCATGACTTTTAGAACTGAGAAATCTAGAAATATCTATTTATACATCCATTTCACATATATTTTCACATCTATAACATACATACCAATTAGGATCTGGTAAATGGGACCCAAATAAAAAGAGCATCTAGTCACTGACTAAAACCAAGCCTAATGGATTCCTGAATTCCATTTCAGACAGGAGCAAGGGGTTTGGAGTCAGGATGTCTGGATTAAAATCTTGGCATAGGGCTGAGGCGTGGCTCAGTGGCAGAGCAAGTGCTTAGCATTTGTGAAGTCCTACATTCAATTTCCAGCACCAAAATAAAATAAAGTCTTGGCACAACTGCTTAGGCGTAATAATAATAATACCAGCTATTCATCTAATTAGCACTCCAAAATTGTTGTGAGGATCGAGTTTAATCATCTGTAAAAAGCTCTTTATTAACTATATTTTCTTCTTAAAGTTATTTCACAGACAGAAAAGCATAATAAAAATTAATATATCCACTGATCTATTAAAAATGAAACACAGCACCTACTATTAACTTAGCTTTGCAGAAAATGACAATAATAATTTGCCTCAGGGACTAGAGCAATTATTGGCCTGTCCAAGAATACATTTTAAGGTCTGTTTTATTTAACTGTCCATCAATTTTATTATGTTTTGAATATAATTTGTCCAATAATGATAGACAAAATTAATAAATAATTGCCACTAATTACATACATAATATTCATTCACAAGTTAGTTTTCAGATGATAGAACGAAGGTGTACACATCCTTGTAAAAAGATACACTTTCATAGTTAACTAGGGGTAAAAAGCAAAACAAGATAAAGAAAACAAATGAACTTCACTCATTTTTATCTGTATTCTCTTACCTCAGGACAGCACAAAATACCTAATATTGAAGCTATTTTGAAAATGTAGGTGGTCAGCCCACCTAGAATACGTACAGAGAGGCCAAATTGAAAAGCTCTTTTTTATGGACCCAATGGCTGAAATTTTGTGTTTATAACATTAGAGAGATTAATGATTAATAACTGCTGATCATACTTATTACCTTAGAAGGTTTGTTGAACAGGCAGGCCCCACCTCCACTATTCAAGAAGTCGTGATACTCTTCGATATTACACTGGGTGAACTTTTTTGGTAGATAATAACTGTGGGAGTGCAGAAAATCAATAATTGGGTAAAATGTTAGTCTCCTTGTTTTATTAGTCTTAAAATTAAAGATTTTAAGATTATACATTTTTCATTAAAATGAAAGAATAAATTTCACTTAAGCATAACATTTGTATTCATCCTATAAGAATTTTATTCAATCAGTATATTTCTAAGTTTTTCAATCAGTATTAATGGTGAATATGAGCTCTTTATTATTTACATGTGCATCTAAAGGAAACATACACATATACACATACAATACCTATAAAATAAATCAAGGAGAGTTAGGAAAAATCTTTTCAAAATGAGTCCTAAATATTAAAACTGGGCCAGAACCCAAAGATCAGAAAATTCTACTAAATAACTGACCTATATCTATAGGTATATCATGTTATAAAACTCAAAAAAAACCCCTAAGGAACATGTTCCAGACCAAAGGAGGCTAAAGAGACATAAAAATTAAATGTGATAACTCATTCTGAATCTTTTGTTATAAGTGACATTCTTAAAATACAGAACAGTCTTGGGTGAGAGCTAAGAATTGTAAGATATTACTGGCTATACTGTAGTTATATAAGAGGATGGTTTTGGTTTTAGAAAATTCTCCTTAAGGTGTGTTTGAAGGTGACAGGGCACCAAGTTAGCAATTTATGATTTAGAGGACAAAAAAGATCTTTGTTATTAATCTTGAAACTTTTCCTCAAGTTCAAGATTGTTTAAAAAAAATGTATACCAAAAAAGTAAAAAGGGTCAAGAAAGTAAAAGACACTTTGAAAACAATTAGAATAAATCCGATGAATTTTCAAAATGTACATGCCCTGATATTTAGCATTGTACCTTTAGAAATTTTTCTTAAGGAAATAATAAGTTATGTGCACAAAGATATACAGACAAAAGTATTTACTAGAAAGTAATTTATGTCAGCAAATAACATTAAAATAACCTAAATGTTCTACAGAGAGAATAATGAACTGTGATATGTAAATAAAATAGAATACCATGGAGTTATTACTAAACATAGTGTTGAAGAATAAACTTAGAGAAGTGCTCATATATAATATTAAATATTAAGTGAATAAATAAGTATATATCCAGCTTGGAGCAAATTTTATACAACAAAAAGTAAAATGGAAAAAATTACTGAATCAATATGTACTAATATTTTAATATTAACCACAGTTACCACTGGAGAAAAGCGATATAAATATTATTTTCAGTATCTTTCAAAAACTATTTTTCTTTGGACATTTTAATTAATGAAAGAGAAATAAAGAGAAAAACAAGATAATAATGACTAGTTGTTGTAAAGCCTCTCCATCTAGCCTATAAGGATTTATAATCTCTATTTCTGCCTAGCACAGCGGTAAATAAGTCAATTAATGGAATTCATAATGATTATTATCATGAAAAGGACTTCTAGATCATACCACATATGTGTATATATATGTGTGTGTATGTGTATATATACACACACATACATACACACACACACACACACACACATACACACACATTCTTTATTCTACTGATCAAAACTTAAGATGATTCCCTGTGCCACTAACTCACTGCAGGACCCTTAAGACTTCAAAGTCAAATTTGACCTCTTCCCTGCAAAGCTGCCTGCAGCCCACCTCCTGCTCCAGCTGTTCTCCATCAGGCGGGAGGGAACACTCCAATTCATGCAGATGCTGTTGCACATGAACAGTGAAGTGTGTGAGTAGGGACTCTTATCTGTATTTCGCCACATCTGACTTCCTGTAGCTTCCATATAGAGTTTTGTTCTTGACTGAATCAAATCTCATTCCTCTACCCTAACATAACCCTTCAAACATCTGAAGGCAGATACAGTCTTTCCCCTACCTCTGCCCCCAAACTTCTGTTTTTGTGGGTAACATGTATTATATTCAATATATCCTTAAAATTTTAACTTTTAAACCTTTACATAAGACTAATGGTATTCATTCTGATCATGGCTTCCAACATTCAGCAGTACAGAAGAACTTCAGAAGGCAAAAATGGGGGGGAACGTACCCATGAGAACATACATCCATAATAGTACTATTAGGGACTATTTGTCATAAATTGAATTACAGAGTCACACCAGATAATGTTTTATATAAAGTGTTTTTCTCTTGTTTGCATCTATTTAATGTAAGAAGTATTCTAATGCAATGAGCTACAAATATCAGAAGACAGTCATTTGATTTTGCTGTGAAGTATGCTCAGTACTATGCAGACTGTCCACAAAAATCTTAATAATTAACCAGAACAATCAGATATAATATAGCAAATGGTTTTTAAAGGACAAGATATCTAGCATTAAATTTAGTAATTTTTAGAAAATTATAACTATATCACTTCCTTTCATTAAACAAAATGCCCAATGAAATCTTGAAAAATATTTTATATAGGTACATTCCTTTCATCATTTATTTTCCTTGTCAGATATATCCTGAACTCAAAATTCAAGTTTAATCAATAAATATTTACTGAAAAACAAGTCTGTATAAAGGATTATGGTCTGAGGCATAAAATACAAATTAATGTAAACTGTACTCCCTTAAAAATGTATTTAACTAAATGGCAAGATGAAGATAAGTACATACAGAATTAAACTGTTATGTTGATGTTAAAAATTATAATAAGCCTTGATGATTAGAGGAAAAAGAAGAGAAGTATTCCAGAGAAAGGCAACATATTCAGGAAATCAAAAAAAGTTGAAAGTTCATGTACTATTATGATAAGCAAATTTTTAAGAAACTGAAGGTCCATGAAGGAGTATACTAACAAGTCAAAAAAGCTTGAATCCAATGTATAGTTATGGTTAGCAAACATACCAGGACTATGGGGAAAATGAAATTGCAAATGAGGACAAAGAAAGATTGTGGACATCTAAGTATTGGTGTAAGAAATTTGAAACCTATTCTTTAGACAAGGGAGGCTCACAAAAGTTCTGAGCAAGAGAATGGCTTTTAAAGCTCAAGTCTATACAGTATATTCACAGCATGGACTGATCTCACAAACAGAACGCTGACCAGAAACAGCAAGGCACAGTTGAATATATACAGTAAGATGCCTCTTATATAAAATGAAAACATACTAAGCTGTTTGTTTTATACATTATTATGGTTTTTACCTAATGTACCCTTAGATCTTCATTCGATCACAGGTGGGACATTTGGAGAATGACTGGATTATGGAGGCATGAGAGCTGGCTTGCTGTTAGATGGTGCTTTCTGGTCAGAAGAGATGGGTCCCTGGGGGTACAGCCTGGAAAGGCTTACTGTGTCCCCCTCCCCCACTCCTCCCTTCACTCTCTGCTTCCTGTTTGCCATGGTGTGATGGCTCTGTCCCACCAGGCCCCTCTGCCAAGCTGTCCTGCCTTGGAGCTGGTGGTCCATGCAAAAACTGAAACTTCTAAAATGTGAGCCAAAATAAACATCTTCTCCTTTAAGTCGGGGGTGTCAAGTACTGTGTCCTAGTAATGAGCAAAATAAGATACACACACACACAAACATGCACACACACGCACACACATGCACACACCCTCCAAACAATAATATGAACCACATTCCAGGTGGCATTCCCTTAGCCAGGACTGGGGTACACTGACACAAGGGAGAACACAAGGAGGATTTAACCAGGTAGGCACTGTTTGTTTCACTTTTCAAAACTGAGTGAAACAAAAGTTTGCTGTTTTGTTCTCTATACTTTTTCATGATGATGGAAATGGGGCTGAGGAGGGGAGAGAAAGAGCCTAAAAGCTGTCTGAGTGTTTAGAATGTTATTGAAATAAAAATAGCACAGGATGATCAAAGCTTAAAGTCAGGTAACAGTAATAATCCTAGAAAAAAAGGAATGGTTGTAAAATTCATTTAGAAAGGATGGAAGATGAGAATGGATGGCTGACAGTGTCTGAAGGTGGGACAGCACGAAGACAAAGGCCTTTCTGAGAGCAGACTGTACACGTCTCTTCCCAGCCACGTTCCCAGACGCCACACTGTGAAGCCACTGGCAGTGGCCTGATCTTGGCCTCTGTGGGCAAGCATACACACAGAACTTGGAGAAGCTACAAGTCCAAGCTGTATCTTTGTTTTTTGCTTTTGAGAGTCAACTTACAAGTGCATTACTACTTATAACCTATTCAACTAGAATTGAAGGCGATAAAAAGAAAAGAATTGAAATTAGGAGGTAAGCTGTAAGCCAGTGGTGGTGAACCTATGGTATCCGTATTGTTTTCCTTTTAAGATAAAAGATGTTAATGTATGAGTTGTTTTTTTCTAAACTAAAACCTCAGTGTTCAGGTTTAATTGTACTGTTGGCACTATGTGATAAATAAGTGGGTTTTGGAATTTGGGCACTTATCTCTAAAAAGTTTGCAGTCACTGCATAAGCCATCAAAAACAAAGCTGTTTCTCGTTTCTTAAATTTCTGGCCAGGTTCAAGGCTTAAAAAGTCATTGAGGTCTACTAACTTGACACCAATTTTTTCTTTCTGAAATAAGAGACTATTCTAACCCACATGCAGTAGAGCATGCCTGTAATTCCAACACATGAGAAGGTGCGGCAGGAGAATCGTGAGCTGGAGGCAGTCTGGGCCACACAGTGAGTTAAAGGCCAGCATGGACCACACAAAAGGATTCTGTCTTAAAAACTAAAGCTATTTTATGAAAATATTTTATATACAGGATGATTAAAAATATTTACTTTCTTTTTGTTTTTCATTTTAATTTATTCTGTGCCATGAAAGTTAAAACATACAAACCACAGCTTTAGATAAGAGTACTGACCAATTTTTAAAACACTGAAATGATCATTTGCACACATTCCTCACCTTTAATTTTACACAGTTAATGTACATGGTTCTTATTTCTTACAAATGTATTTGTCAAGCAGCAAGATGACACTGCCTCATAGCACAGCACAGAATGCTCATCAGCAGTATCTGGTAAATGGTTATGCACAGAACTGACTTGGAAGGTAATGTTAAACATTCCTCATAAAACATGTACGTAACAAATGAGAAATGTAACTGTAATATAAGATAAAATGTTACTCTTTATGCTTTAAAACTCTGGGACACTTAAAACCAGACAATACAAGGTGCTTTAATTCTAGATTCCATAATCGAACACTATTCTATTAGTCGCCTGAGTTTAAAAACTTTGAGGACTGCTCATGGCTTTTTAAAGTCAATTTGAAATATAAAAGCACTTAGATTACCAAGCACAATCTAGTTAACTGATTACATGTTACATAAAGTATTTTTTTTAAGAAAAACTGACTTTAAAAAAGATTCCATCATTGATGTATAATAACTTCAAAAATGTTACTCTTTTTTGTTTTTTGGTACCGGGGGTCAAACTCAGGACCCTGCACTTGTGAGGCAGGCAGTGGCACCACTGAGCTAAATCCCTGAACCCTAAAATGTTACTCTTCAGAGGAAAAACGCACTTTAAAATCTTTCAAAATGTTTTAAAATGACGTATTTTGTGACTTCATTTATATGTTCAGTATTTTCAGCAAAGTAATTTGAAATGCTCTTAACCCTGATAACATCTAAATAAATGGGTTAACGTGTCTGTGAAATGGCTGTCTACCACATTTATTTCTACTATGAACATCCATTAAGAGATCTATATTTAATTTGATGTAAATATTCAAAAATAATTACTTTTCATTCTCTCATGAATGCTGTGGGGAGAGTCCATGCACTTTGCTATTAAGTATCGTATTTCTAAAAAGACAACAGCACAGCAGATAAAGAAAACGTGTTATTTTCAACTAGAAATGGCTCACCCAGTGTCTCCCATTATGCATCCGGACCACATGTCCTCACATTTACACTCACCTAAGAGAAAATGAATACGCACACCTTTTCATAAAGTAAATACAGCTGTACTGGTCTCTATGTTTAGAAAGATTCTCTTCACTCTATTTTAAAATACTTATTTAAAAAGTAATACTTGCTTTCTAACTCTGCTTACACTTTAAGTTGTTACGCAATTATAACAACAAAAATATACTTTGACCCTGTAGAGTTTACATAATTTTCAATTAAAGACAAATCTTCTCTGGTATTTTAACAAATGGCCAAAATTTTTAAGCATTCATTTTAACATGAAAATCAAATACCAATGAAATCGGGAAGAAGTTCAAGGCCCACTATGTGACCTTGGTTTCACAGGCCTTCCAGGGAATAATTACACCGTTTACACCGTTTTCAAAGCCTCTGCACTGAGGTAGAGGCCAGCGGAGTAGCAGGACCTCAGAACCAGGAACACCTGCACTCAAATCTTAGCTTGGCATTTAATATGTGTGATCTTGGAGACATTTTACTTATGATATAGTCACTGTATCTGTAACACAGGTCTAAAAATCAGTATCTGGCAGGATTATCTTTAGAGTTAAAAGAGAATCTAGACGTAGGTAATATATCATGCATTCATCTGTCAAATAATGGGTTTTTTAGAATTGGTAAGTTATTATACATAATTACACTTACAAATTTACCAAAACAATAAAATGCTAAAATCAAATTGTTACTCTAAATACCTAGTATTTGACCATTCACAGTGAAGTAACTTTGCCTACTTAGGAAAAGATAGTCTTCACAGATGTGAAACCTAGCACATTTTACTAGGTCCATATATTACAAAGCCCATTATGAGGTCTGCTTCTGACAAGGAAGGTCTACCTCTGTGGCCATATGTTTTAAATAAACCTAATAAACCTGAAATAAATGCCTACAATTCTCTACTAGGCCATTTCAAATTACCAAAATAAGCTCATTTTGGCCCTTCTTAGGTTAAATTCAACTATGAATTTACTATCACATGGCTTTAAATGTTTATTACACATGCAGACATTTTTGTTTGTAATATAATTTTTTGTTGTTGTTTGTTTTTGTAGTATACGGGGGATTGAACTCGGGTTCTTGTGCTTGCAAGGCAGGCAGCGGAACCACTGAGCTAAATCCCCAGCCCTTCATTTGTAATATAATTATTCCCTAGTATTATATCTGAAAACAACATTTTGTGCCCTGGATTATTTATTTTATATTATTATCCATACTCTTTTAATCAAGCAACTGAATCAGAGAATCTCATTCTAGAAAATACTTAACAGTCTATCATAAGTGCAATTAAACCACACATGTACTATAACTTACCACTTGCTAACTTTCTTTTGTCTGAGATAATACCAATATTATGGGCTAATGACTGAGCAAGTGTAACAGCCATTAAATCAGTTTTCCCAAACTGAAAAACAAAAGTAAAAAATGTGAATTGTCATTTAAAAATGGCTAAAGAAAAGTATAACAATACATTTGAAAATAAGTAATTTCTAAGAATTTTCTTTAGCAGAGGCTAAACACATTGTACCTAGTGCTAAATGTACAACTGGGAAGAAGTAGGAAATAAATTCATGTTTGATTATGTCTTCTAGGATAAACATAAAACCCATGAATAGTCAACCTTTGGGTTTAAAAACTGAAATCTAATTCTCTCCAAATTTCACCCAATAACATTACTAAAAAACTTAGTAGTTATATATGATTAGTCTTTTGAATAATACAAAATAAATGTGAAAAATTTATTTGGAACTTGTTCATCCTTATGTGTCCATTTGTATTCCTAAAACTCCCTCCAAATGCAATAGAAAGTAGCTTTACAAAATAAGCATAAGATAAACAGGAAGTAGTGAGGAGCTGTGGCTGATAAATACTTAAGATATTTATTCTCAATATGGAGCCTCCCAAAGATTCAGATATTTTTCTTTAAGATCATTTCCAAAAAATTGCCATGGATAAAAAGAGCCCCTTTGCAAAACCTACTGTATTTTTTTCTCCTCAAAATTTGTCAAATGCTGAAGAAAGCAGAAAATATCCCATTGAATTATTAGGTGGCAATCAAGTACTTCAGGGAATTACTCAATTTTCTAGGAAATCATTCAAGTGACAAATACAGACTTCTTTCCAAGACAGGTTAAGGTACAGATTCTCTATATAATATGTAAATTACTTTAATTATTCTAAGTAGAACATGAGCAGAATTATCAGGTATTAACTTTCATTATCTACTCTGTTTTCTGGGCATGTATAGTAAACATACTGGTTCCTAATAAAACACTAACACCTGGAGTATATGGAATGTTGAGAAATTATCTGATAAGTATTAGGAAAACATCTTCAGCCATCATACCACTTTGTATTGTACAGATGTTCACACCTACTTCATTCACGCCTCCTCCTTTCAGCAACGAGCAAATCCCACCAATATAAGCTGCCCCGCTCCGGCTACTCTCAAATTGACTTCCCCTTTTAGAAAAGAAAATGAAAAATACTTACTGCTCACAGTTCAAACATAATAGCACCTCTCATTGTTAATCTCAAACTGAAGTATACATATTTTTTTAAAACTGCAAATATGATGCACTATGAGAATCACTTCTGTAGTATCTACGAAGAATACATAACTTGAATCTCATATTGAGAAAAGAGCAGATAGTCTCACAGTGACCAGGAGTCTATAAAATAATCAGCCTATACTCTTCAAAAGAGGTAAGCTCAAAATAAAGAAAAGCTGAGAAAAATCTTTCACATCAGAGGAGACTAAAGAGACAGGATGATTAATCAAAATGTGTGATTTTGTGAAATGTCTGAATTTGTGGTTGGATGGGAAAATATTAGCAATAAAAGGTATGATTGAGACAATTTGTATATAGAGTATAGTTTATGTAATAGTAATGTGTCAGTGTTATATTTTTTCATTTTAATAATTTATTGCAGTTGTATACACATTCAAATATTCAGTAAGCATCCACTAATTGGATAGAAAGATGGAAGGGAGGGAGAAAGGAAGGAAATCATAAAACAAATGAGGGAAAATGTAAATAATTAATGAGTCTTGGTGAAGGGCATATGTAATTTCCCTGTGATATTCATATAACTTTTCTCTAAATCTGAAATAATATAAAAGTTAAAAGTCACCCCAAAATATTTCTTTTACTTCCAATTATAATTACTTCCAACTGCTCTGACTTCAGATGACAGATTTTTAAAAATGCTACAATACACATTTTATTACATCAAATACATAAATTACAAAAAAGAACACACAAGGGAAAAAAAAATTAACTCCAGAAATGTAGCTCTTAACTTAGTATACTTTCTGTTTTTGGTTCTAACATGTAAAACACAGCAACTTTAAAGAGTATTTATCTATGTTAAGAATACTACATGAGTATGAGCAGTACTTTTATTTATCCAGTAAATGCTCTGATTAAATCTCTTAAAAATTAAATGAAATAAATATGCAACAACAGAATAATTCAAAATCAAATTACTAAAATTTTTGTAGCAGTTTCAAATAGTTTATACTGTAAAACTCTCAAATATCCTGCAATGTCAAAGCTTACTTGCATTATATAGTAGAAAAGATACATCTTGGTCATAAGTAATAAAGCATTCAACATGGAGCCAAAAAAAGTAATCATTAGAAAAGTTACGTACGAAAAAAGGTGAACTGCATCACTTTTCTCTTTGATAAAATCCCTCCTGTATTTCATAAACTCACGTAGGGTGATCAATGGATTTTCAGATATGGCAAACTTGTTGTCAGCTGCCCAGGTTTCCATGGCAACCAATACTATTCTTGTCTTAAGTTGGTCTTTATATATCTAGTATATTAACAGAATGAACAGAACAGCTGTACACATAGTAAAATCAAATAGTTTATGAACAGGACTACAAAGCTCCTCAGGGAAACTCCTCCAGTTTTAGTTAAAGGTAAAAAAAAAAAGTTACTGTTTTTAAAAAGGATAATTACCTTTTTTTTTATTTTTGTACTGGAGATCGAACTCGGGACCTTACACTTGTGAGGCAGGTGGTGGAACCGCTGAGCTAAATCCCCGGCCCAATTATTATTTTAATTTGCACACATTTCTCTTAAGTAATAGAAAATCAAATTTTTTACTGAGTAATACCCTTGTTTCTACTCTTTAGAAACAAAAGATCCCTTTTTGCAACAAATACTCGCAACCAATTCAAGGCTCCCAAGTCCACTTTCTGGCAGCCTGAACAAAAAAATTCATGAATTTTTTAGAAACCTAGCCAAAAATGGAACAACAAAGACTCTTCATGGAAGTACATAGTCTCTATACATCCTGACTGAGCCTGATTAACCTCCTGGACAGGTACTGGTACTGCCCCATCCAGGGAAGCTTTGGAAGGACGTACAGTGTGTTTATGTAATAGCATCACTGCCACAGCATCAGGCACTCTTTGAAAAGGTGCAAGTGCTGCACAATTTCTCTCTCACTAGAAGGTCACTGTGGTGCCTCTGTTAAGGGCTACAACTCAACCTTTGTCTTTTGCAGTGTGATAAACACAGGAAGGAATTCAGGCAAATCTGTGGGTAACTTTCTCTCCCAGAGTCAATAAAAAGTCAATAAAGTCCATTGCAAGGTCACTAGGAAACCTTGGCTGAAGTGCAACTTAGAGCCATAAAGCATAAGAACCATGTCTTTTGTACAAACCAAGCTTGTAGTCTCACAAAGTCAAAGAATGAAATCACGAACCAAAAGGAGGAAGTTGAAAAAGTATTTATTGGAAATTAGAAGAAGAAGAACAGCTCCTACATTTTGAATATCCAGGAGGGATTCTGAATGGAAGTTCAAATTGTATTCTTTGTCCTGCTCTTATATGAATAAGCAGAGCATAAGGGAAAAGCTCATTTTAAGAAAATTAGTTTAAAAGAAAGTGTTTATTTTGTATTTCTAACATTTCTCCAGGTCTTGTCCGGAGGTAGAGAGGTGCTGTCAACTAACCTAGCATTCTCAAAAGAACCTTTTTCCTAGAAGGAAAGGTCCTTATCTCTCTAATTTATCCTAACCTTTTACCTTTTGTTCTTGTAGTTTTATTTGGTTTTGTTTACATATCTCTAAGCTTAACTAGCTATCTGAATTAGCTCTTAACTGGGTAGGGCTATTTTCTTTTACCTAACTCTACCCGGCCTGACTGCCTACTCAAAGGTTTAGTAACTAAACACTACAGTACTATCCTTTCTATTAGTAATCTGCAGTTAAAATTTTTCTAGAATGATATGGAATCAGGTCAATACTTACTAAATCTGCCATGTTCACCACAGATTTCGCATAGGTATTGGTATGTACAACAGAAAGTCGATGTTTTTTAAACTGAAAGCAAAAGAAAACAAGTAAAAGTCTTTCGAAGTTACTAGGAAATAATTACGTCAGCAGAGAAAGTATGTTGCAGAAGGCTTTCATGTCCCAAAGGCTTTCTGTAAAAGATGTCAGAGTTGAGACCTAGTTTTTTACTGGTCCTGCAGCCTGAAGCAAGGCTCTTAAAAAGCTTGAGGCCTCAAGAGATATAAAAATCATTAATAATAAAATAACGAATAATAAAAATTATTCACTCCTTCCATTTCACTGGTTTTTTTGTTCAGGATTGTTACTCAAAACAATAAAAGAGGTGAGAACTGTCTATGAATTACAAGACATACAAATCTAAGTAGGGACAGAAATAGTGAATGTGAACACTGCTACAAGTAAAGGTTCCTAGAGACTTATTTAGTAAGAACAAAACCCTAAGAAAAAGGTTACAAGAGGAGCCTTCTAGGTTAGATGTGGATCACATGTATCTTTTGCTTGGCTGCACTGGTGTTTTAAGAATCAGAAAGGATCAAGTTTCTGGCTACATTTGAAGTAGCAGCCCTACTTGGTAATAACCAACAAGTGCTGAGAGACAGCTACTCCCCTGGAATCTGCTATGTGCTCTCCTTCCCCACAGGCCTCACCCCTGCCATGTTACACCTGGCTCACTCCACTTGGGTCCTGTCTACATATGTCTGTAGGCATCTGAAAACTATCGAAAATGCTCAAAATACATGTCCTCACAGCTTACTCTTATGTATAAAATCTCAAGAAACAGTAACATTCACTGGATTCAAATAGGTAGGAAGAAAACAGACCTAGCCTGAACAAGGACACAACAATCAATCCTAATTATATCATTACTATTATTATAAACAACAACAATAAAGAAGATTGACCTCATCTATTTAATCAAATATAAATGACACGTTTTTCCTCAAGCAAATCATACAGTATAAATTAAAATGCCCTTGTACCTGAAATTAAGTAAAATTCAGCAATGTGCATCACTGAACATTGTAATTTGAAATTCTGGTTTCATGGAACTGTTAACATTACAACTAACTACTCTGCTAAGAATGTAACCATACTGACTGCAATATGCCCATTAATTAAACATGCACATTATAAGTCAAAATGGCTCAAGTCAACAAGAAGAAAGTTTTTCCAAGTTCTTATCCTTGGACTTCACTAATTGGTAGGTAAGCATTTTCATATGATTTTCAGCATGGTAAGACAGAAATAGAAAAATTGCTTTTCTTTTATTAGGATAAAGCTGTGCATTGCAAACTAAAATTTCACTAAATCGATGCTTCACTTACTTTTTCAAATATAAAATAGAAATTTCAACTTTTCTGAAGCTTGTTATTTCAGTAAGAGAAGATTCAAATATTAGTAACTAAATTAATCAAGCAAGTTCAAAGAGTTTAAATTATTAGCCCCACAAATATTTTTGGAACATCATAAATTACTGCTAGTTACTTCCAACTAAGAGTTGGAACTTGTTGGTTGGTTAACAAAGTATTTGGTTCCATAAACATTTTTCCCCAGGTTATAACTTGGTGAGCTTTTTATTTCTTCTAAACATATTTTAGATCCACTAGTTTTAATCTAGGCACAGACAAGTTAAATATAAAAGCAAATCCTACCATGAGATGGTCATTCACAATCATCAGTTCGATATATTTGGTTTCCTCTTCCACATTACGAGGATATCGAAGAAGCTACAAGGTGATAAAAGGAAAAAAAACCTTAAATATGCCTTCTAAACTTGGCTATGTAAAACTTAAAAAAGAAAGAAATCAACAAACAAAATTTCCTTTGTTCCTTTAGGAATTTTTAACTTTCACCAATTTACTTAGTTTTTTCCATAGTAATAAAAAATTCACATGTTTCAGAGAGTAAACAAAGTATAAAAAAGCCTAGCATGAAAGTTTTCCTCTTACCTGTTCCTTATCTACCCAGTTCCTAATCCTTCTTCCACAGTGGGTACAATGAGCTACTAGTTTCTTTCACAAGTATTTATGCAAATAAAATTAAATATGAGTATGATTTATTTTATACTTCCATTTATTTTACTCCTGTATACCAAGAATTTTCATTTAACAGAACACAAATGAAGAACATTCTTCCTGGTTTAATTTAATCTCAGCATTATTTCTGGGAGTGGGGTGACTGGCACCTTTCAATCCAACCCAATTCAATATATGTGCACTTGTTTTCAGTGCTATATTTAAAGCAGATTAAAAATATGCTGCCAGATTCTGTCTTGCTACATGCATTCCTAAACTTTAAAACTTTCTTCAAAGCTCTTTTAACACCAAGTTGAAAGAGAGTAATAGACTATATTTCTAAGGATGAAAACCAAAGAAAACACTAAACTGTTTCCAGTGGATACTGTCAGGATAAAAGGATCTGCTTTGCCATAGGGTTTCCAACAAGTCCCAACGTTTTCTTAATGTCATAGATTTGCCACAATGGCCACATAGACTTAAAAACACCTCAATTTCACGGGTCCATAAAAGAATCCAAGGATTTACCTACTTCTAAATGTTAGAAGTTAAGGCATTTACTTGAAGGCAGAGGCCAACAGAATATTATCCTATGCTCTCACCTCAGGAGTCCATGAAAATACCATTTTAAACTGACTCGTCATAGTAATTATTTTTACCTATTTAACTAGGCCTCAAGATATACAGTATATGTTCCTGTATCTCCACAACATATATGAAACTCACCAAAGTAATTGAAGGACACACAAGCTTCTCAGAGGCAGTACAGACTATATATGTGGCCATAAGCACCTCTTTGAGACCAGAAGTACAGGCCTACCTCAGTTGCCCACACTATGCGAAAGAAGCATCTTTCTTAAGCCTCTTAAGCTATGCTGTCTTTATCAGTAAAATAAGGATAAGAAAAATACCTTCCTCATAAGGTTATGAGGATTAAATGTGTTAATGCCATTAAAATTCTTACAATAAGGCAGGGCACCTGGTAAGTGTTATCACCACTACCTTGAATTCATTTTGAGTCTATGAAATGATAAGGCCCATTTTTACCATCCTACATACCTGTCAACTACACCACTTACCTCGCTCTGACAAATGCCTGAACTAGTACTTACCCTCTTGCAGAGACCTAATGCAGATTTAAACGATCAGTAGTTGCCAGATGTTTTAAAGTATCATAATATACAAGATGTGACCAGAAAATATGGTATGTACTTAAGATAAAAAATTATTACAGGGAAAGACACATTGGCATTAATCTCACTCAAACAACCCTTGTCCCCACTTCAAACACACATCCCATTACTCTTGCCACTTTCTGAAGCAGTTCTGGGATTCCATTTTCATGAGTGTCTTTCTTTACTGGCACTGTTCAGGCTGCCTTCATGTCCTGATTTGATTCAAAACATTTACTCTTTAATGAAATTGAAAGGGAAGCAATACTCCCAAATTCATTCCTGGAAGCAAGCATCACCTTGATTCCCAAAGCAGAGAAAGACCCAACTGAAAAAGAGAAC